ACTACGACTACGACTACGACTACGACGACTACTACTACTGATACTAATACTACTGCTACTACTACTACTACTACTACGACTACTACTACTACTGCTACTACTCCTACTACTACTACTACTACTACTACTACTACTACTACTACTACTACTACTACTACTACTACTACTACTACCACCACTACTACTACGACTACGACTACTACTTCTACTACTACTACTACTACTACTGCTACTACTACCACTACTACTACTACTACTACTACTACTACTACTCCTTCTCCTCCTCCTCCGCCTCCTCCTCCTCCTCCTCTTGGGCCGCCCTAGCGGGGCTGGTGTGGATGCGGCGCAAGCCAGAGTCAGGAGGGAAAAAAAACACAGGAACAATCAATCGTCGATGCCCCAGAAAATATGGGAAAATATGGGAAGTGGGGGAAGACAAAACCCTGAAAATATGGGTAAAAGATGGGGCATCCGGTTACGTGTGTCGATTTATCTGTGTGTCCCAGAGCCCAGCGGGGCCAGAGTGGATGCGGTCGGAGGGCCGCGCCGCATCGCCGCTTGCAGCGGCGATCCGGCACAAGCCAGAGCCCCATCTTCTCCTTTCCAACAGCGATGCGTCGGCGGTGCGGTGCGATCACCCGACCCCTATCTGCCTGGACCCCGACTAGGCGGCCTCCCCCCCTTTGAAATGAACGCCCGCCCCGCCCAGAATGAAGGCCGTGGAAGCTTGGGAGCGGAGATGGTGCAGGGGGGCTCGCTCTGAAGAGCCCGCGGGTGCTGTTTGGGGGGCCCGTTTCGGCCGCCTGGGGGAGAGGGAGGCGTTGGCTTATGTCGGGCACGCCCCTTTACAGGAGGAACGTTCAAAAAAGTACGGGGACGATGCTTGTACTATCTCTTGCTGTGTTTGAACATGTTGCGACTGCTTTCTGTTCTTCGCCCAAGACCCGCCTGTAGGAGGACATGCCCGACCCAAGCGTTGGCCCATCCTACTAATACGATGCTCAGGAGGGAAAAAACACAGACACAATTAATAGTCGATTCCCAAGAAAATATAGGAAAATATTGGAAGTGGGGGGGAAGACAAAAACTTTGAAAATATGGGAAATGTAGGGAATCGTTTTATTTGTGTGTATTTATTTGTGTGTCCTGGGGCCCCTTCAGATGCGTCCGTCGCCCCCCCACCCCCACCCCCAGGGGCGGCGCGGGCACCCAGGAATCTCTTCGCTCCGTGACGGGCGCTTTGCGGCCATGCCGCTCGGGAGAGAAGTCACTGGCAGGAGGGCCATGTCCGACGCACCAGCAGTCAGTCGGGCGTGTCCCTCTACAGGAGGGATATTCCAAGATAGCCAAAATATAGTATGCGTACTATTTTTGTTTTGAATCTGTTTGGGCGTCTTTTGAATATGTTTGGGGTGTTTTTTATTGATCGTCCAAAATCCCCCTGTATGGGGGACAGGCCCGACCTAACGCTGGCACCAGTATGTCCTTCTGCGCCCCAAGGAGAGGGAGGCGCTGGCCAAGCTGCCGGTGAGGGAGCTCAAGCGCAGGCTCGACGAGAAGGGCATCTCGATCCCGGCCGGCACCCTGGAGAAGAAGGAGGCGCTCCCTGGCCCCGCGGGGCAGCGGTGGCGATGGCGGCGACACTGCTCGCGCTGCTTCGGGCGTGCTTGCCCACGTGCGGCGGCGGTGAAGTTTGTCTGTGCTACTCCGAGCGCGTTTCCGCCATTCTCGGAGGCTAGGACATTGGCACCGACACCAAGACAGGGGGTTGCCTCCACAGGGGGAAGATGCTCCTAGATGTGCGGCGTCGGTGGTAATAATTCGGCCACGTTGGAAGCCAGAATACTGCCACCGTCACCGAGATCGGGATCTCCTTCCCTCGGTGGAGGCACACCGCCGAAGCTGGTGCTGGTGCCGATCCCTAGGCCTGCGACACTGGCCGAGCTGGCCACGCGCTGGTCTCGGCCCCGCTCCCGCCTCTCGCGCGCAGGGCGCTCCGGCCGTCTGCAGAGGGTGCGCTCGGGGCCTCGGGCCGTGCCCCCGGGAGAGAGCGCTGGCACCGAAGGTGGTCACGCACCTGCAGCGGAAGTGATGGCCTCCCTCTGCGGGCGCTGTCCTCGACTGTCCTCGACCATCTCTGGCCATGATGCAGGAGGGAAGAGGACACACAGGCACAATAAGTCGTCGATCCTCCAGAACACATGGGGAAGTATGGGAAGTGGGGGGGGGAGACAAGCACCCAGGAAATATGGGAAAAGATTGGGGGTCCTGGTATTTGTGTGCATTTATTTGTGTGTCCCAGGGCCCCTTCAATGGTGTTGCTTCCACCACAGCCAATGTTTCCTTGCCCAGCCCTGTCCCCGGCTGCCCCTGGTACTGGTGCCGTCGTCCGTTGCCGCCAAACTGTTCTTGGCCGGCCCCGTCCCCGGCTCGGCCGCCATGTTTCAGCATGCGCTTCTGCTTGCCTCCGACTACCCTCACACTTTTAAAACGACACGAAGATCGGGACAAAATCGGATCGGGATAACTCGAAATCTCTGAGAATCGGCGGGTTTGGAGGATGTATTGGGCGCCGCGGCCGCTCCAGAGCGTTCCGGAACGCTCTGAGAGCGCTCCGGAACGCTCTGGAGCGATTTATCCCGATCCTGGCCCTGTTTTACTCGCACTTTCCATTGGTTTCCGCTTGGTTCCAGCTGCTCTCCCGCACGCTTTCCTCTGCGTCGGCCCCTCCGGGCCCGAGAGCGCCTGTCTGGTGACCGCCCTGCCCTTCTCGTGCCTCTCGGCCCACGGGGCGCCCGCGCCTCCTGCCTGCGCGCCGCAGTCGAGGGGAGGGGGGACGAGAGGGAGGTCAGGAGAGAGGGAGGGAGAGAGGCTGGAGAGAAGGAGGAGGGAGGTTGGAGAGGAGGGGGTGAGAGAGAGAGGGAGGCTGGAGAGAGGGAGAAGAGAGGGAGGTTGCAGAGAGGGGGGGGAGAGAGAGAGCCGAGGAGACGCAGACGTGGGTGGAGGCGCGTGGGTCAGCGATGGGCCCCGCTTCCGTACACAGTCGGCGCGCTCCGTCGCCAAAGCAGGCGGCACCGCCCCCTGTTTCGGGGGGCGCTTTCCCCGACCCGTGCGTCTGGCGCCCTCGCGCCGGCTCGACGGATGCGCAATCCATGCGAGCGTGCGCCCAGCGGAGGGAGGGGGGGAGGGCGAGAGGGCGGAGAGGTTCTCGCGCAGGAGGGTCCTGCTGATGGCCGTCTCATCTGCCTCGCTCCGGCCTCGGCCCAGAGGGCTCCTCCGTCCCCCGCTGATATCGGGGGCCCCCAAACGGGGCGGTGACCACACCTGGTGGTGCGTCCGTGGGGATTCGGGGCCACCGCACGGTTTTGGGACTCGGGTCGTTCTCCGAGGGCGTCTCGGGCGACTGGGGCCTCCGAGGTCCCAAAAGCGTGCGCTGACGGACCGTGCGGTGAGGTCTTGGGGGATTTCGAGCTCACCGCACGGTCTGTCAGCGCACCGTTTCGGGACTCCAAATGATGGCCGGAGCACGGTGGCAGTGCAATCGCCTTTCCCCGCGGGCGTGTGTGTGAGAGAGGGGGGAGGGCGGGGGGAAGGGGGGGCGCTGCCCCGGCGTGACCGAGAGCTGGGGCGGGAGCAGGCAGGAAGGCGAGGGGAGGGAGAGAGAAGGCAGGGAGGGAGAGGGGAGGGAGCGAGGGGAGGGAGGGTGGGAACGAGGGGAGGCAGGGAGGGAGCGAGGGGAGGGAGAGAGAGTGGGAAAGCGGGGCCACGACGGACTTCACGGCGTGCAGCCCGTGGCGGCCCCGCCGCTTTTCGGTCCTTCGGATGCGTGGTCGCTCCCGGCGCCGGGGGGGGCGCCCGGAGCGCAGGTTGAGCGCAGCTGGTTCGCTGGCACCCCCTGTGCTGAACCCCCGGGCGTGCGCCCCGGAAGTGGAGCGTGGATGGGAGGACGGAGGGGCCCACAGGGCGGGAGGCAGGGGACGCAGCTGTGGTCGGGCCACGACTCGCAGCCAGCGCCCTGCGTGAACACGCGAGCAGGCGCTGGCGCTTTGCAGCGGCTGGGCGGCGGGCCGAGGAGAGGGGCGCGACTGCGAGCATGGGGAGGAAGGCGATGAAAGCGGGTGAGCGTGCCACCTTCCGGTATCTGCGAGAGGGGGGAGGGGGGGCCTTGCAGCGAGATCTTAGAAACTGTACGGGGAGCTCTTTGGGACCACAGTCAACCCGCATAGTAAGGATGAGCGACGTTCCAAGGTTACCCCTGCATCCTTCTCGTTCGTTCCCCTTCGGCCCATCCTTGGCCGCCTTCGCTGGCCGTGCCCCACCCGCAAAGGGTCGGCATGGCCTTCCAGGGCCCTCGCATCTTTGCCCCGCATCCTTGCTGCACGGGCTGACTGCAGCGCCCAGTGTGGCCAGAGCCCCATGGATCACCAGGTCGCGAGTAGGGAGGAGGAGGAGGAGGAGGAGGAGGAGGAGGAGGAGGAGGAGGAGGAGGAGGAGGAGGAGGAGGAGGGAGGAGGAGGAGAGGAGGAGGAGAAGGAGGAGGAGGAGGAGGAGGAAGAGGAAGAGAGCGAGGAGGAGGAAGGAGGAAGGAGGAGGAGGAGGAGGAGGAGTAGGAGGAGGAGGAGAAGAAGAAGAAGAAGGAGAAGAAAAAGGAGGAGAAGAAGGAGGAGGAGGAGGAGGAGGAGGGGGGGGCCCAGGAGGACGCGGCTGCGCACCCAGTTCGCGACAACGGCGCCGTCGGAAGAACGCGCTCGGGAGGGACGGGAGCCTCCCGTCTCCGCGGACCCACAGCTCGCCCATACGCTCGAGCGCACCTCCCGGAGGGGAAGATGGGCACAGAGACCGAGAGGCGCCGATGCCCAGGACGATGTGCGAAACGATCGGGAGCGGAGGGGCAGGTGAACACCCCGAAAACATGGAAAGGCCCGGGGCGATCCTGGGGCTTGGTGCCCGCTCCTCTCTTGTCGAGCCCCTGGGCCCCACCGGTGCCGTCTGCCCGCCCGTGGAGGGTTGTGCGTTTCCACGCCGCCACGGGGTCGCCAGGCGCGGTGGAGGGTGGAGGCTGGGGGCCCCCAAACGGGGCGGTGACCACACCTGGTGGTGCGTCCGTGGGGATTCGGGGCCACCGCACGGTATTGGGACTCGGGTCGTTCTCCGAGGGCGTCTCGGGCGACTGGGGCCTCCGACGTCCCAAAAGCGTGCGCTGACGGACCGTGCGGTGAGGTCTTGGGGGATTTCGAGCTCACCGCACGGTCTGTCAGCGCACCGTTTCGGGACTCCAAAGGAGGACTAGGGTCAGGGTCAACGCTAGGGGGGGATATAAGGGAGGAAAAGCGGCCCAGACCCGACAATTGACGTTTACTAAACGGCCTTGGGCGTTCACTGAACAGCCCTGCCCTGTCCGATTCTTTCCCTGGGTGCGTTGACTTGACGACTTTACTTGTCGGGGTGTTTATTCAATCGCTTCGCTCATTCCGCCGGCCCATATTGCATGATCGCTACTGCTCCGCCGTGGGCTCGGGGCCATCGTGGCGCCGCCGAGGAGGAAGATGAGGATGGGGAAGGGGAGGAGGAGGAGGAGGAGGAGGAGGAGGAGGAGGAGGAGGAGGAGGAGGAGGAGAAGGAGAGGAGGAGAAGGAGAGGAGGAGGATGAAGATGAGGAGGAGGAGGAGGAGGAGGAGGAGGAGGAGGAGGAGGAGGCGGAAGAGGGGGCGGAGGAGGAAGCCTCTCGTTCCGTTCGGGGGCGCCTGGGAGGCATTTTAGAAGCCTTCTGGGGCCTCTTTTGGGCCTCCTGGGGGCCTCTTGGGGGCCTCTTGGCGGCATCTTGGGGCCTCTTGAGGGCCTCTCGGGGCCTCCTGGGGCCCTCTTGGGGCGGAAGGCTCGAGTTTTCGGTTCGTGGTCCCCCTCTTGGGCCCCTCTTTTTCATCCGTCTTGGGGCTCTCTTGGGCCATCTTGGGCGCCTCTTGGGCCGTCTCGGGGTCCTCTTGGGCCCTCTTGGGGCCCTCTTGGAAGCCTCTTGGCCGGGCCTCTTGGGCCGTCTTGGAGCATCGGGAAGCCGAAAAGGCGACAAGGCCAAAATCTTTCCAAAACCATCATATAGTTAATGATTTTGGCCTCTCTGGGCCGTCTTGTGAGGCCCCTTGGAGGCCACTTGGGGGCCTCTTGGGCCGTCTTGGGGCCATCTTCGGCGTCTTGGAGCGCTCTTTGGGCGTCACGGGGGCCTCATGGGCAGTCTTGGGGGCCTCTTGGGGCCCCCTTGGCGCGCTCTGGGGGCCTGAGAAGCCGCGCCCAGGAGGAAAACCATCTCTGAGTCGGACCGCCCGGGACCTTGCCGGGACTTTGCCGGGGTACTTTTCGTCCGGGGGCCGCCCCGCGCGCGAATTAGAAATATCGTTCACCCGTTACCAGAGATCTTAGCACGCCTCTGGCCCGTTGGGCCGGCGAATTCGGGGGGGGGGTTCTGTTCTCCAGGATACGCACAGTGGCAACGTTAGGAGAACGTTTCGGTTTCGAGGTTCGAGGTGTTCGGGAGTTTGCGTCGGTCCTCGGCGGCGCTCTAGCCTCGGGGCAGCTTTCAGCGACTGCGCCTGGCAGGGAGCATTCCGGGGGTGCCCAGAGCATCCCGAACGGCCGGGGGGGGGCCCAATCTCTGACCCGAGGACGACCAGGGGATAGGCGCACAGGGGGGAGGCGCATCGGCCCGCAATCGCCCATTCCGTGCCAATAGGGGTCTGATAGCCCACCCCGCCCGGGGACCGTGCGGATTGGCTATCGGAGGCCTCTCGCCGATCTGTGGACGATGTAACGCCGACTCCCAGGTCGATGTTTCTCCCCCTATGCCAGTCCCCCCCAATCGTTGCCTCTCAGAGGGCGGAAGAGGAAGGAGTAAGGATCGGAAGACAAAAAACGGCATGAACACAGATTTTCGGAGCTCCGCGCGGATTTCTTAGATCCGCGTTGGCTCCCCTCTGGCGCTGCCCCTGGCGCCATCCGCGCTCCAGGGAGGGCCCAGCGCAGATCCAAGAAATCCGCGCGGACCGTCGAAAGTTTATGTTGTGCCGTTGTTTCTCCGTCTGAAGGAGGGAGGGAGGAGGAGGGAGGAGGACGTTCGAATGTCCATCGACCTCGCAGCGTTCGAACTCCCGTGTCACAGGACGACCCGCCGACACTCTCCTGCGAGAGCGTTGCAGCCTGTTTGGGTGAGCCAAACAAGCGGCCCGGAGCTCGTGGACCTCCTGTGCAAGGGGCCTGGGCCGCAGAAGACGAAGGACCTGCGCAAGTTCCTGGGACGCAACGCCGCCCAGGCGGCGAAGAAGGCCAAGAGGGCCGCAAAAGCGGAGCAGAAGGCCAAGCCAGCTGAGACGCAGAACAAGAAGGAGCCTGCCCTCCTCGTCCTCCTGTTCCCCCCATCCTCCTTGCCCCTCCCCCATCCTCCTCTTCCTCCTCCTCCTTTTCCTCCTCCTCCTCATGCTCCTCCTCCTCGCCATCATCATCGCCACCTCATTATCATCAGCACCGTCGTCGTCGTCATCATCACCACCATCATCACCATCATCAGCATCGTCATCATCAACGATATCGTCATCATCATCGAGCCGTCTCAGGTGCTTTTGCGTCTCGGCGGCCGCGCGGACGCACGTGCCCTCCCTCCGCTCCCCATCCTCCCCCGCCTTGCCCATTCCGTCCCTGCGCCCATGGCCATCCGTGCGCGGCTCGCGTGGATCCTGGATCAGGTGGCGGCTGGGCGGCCAGTGAAGGTGCGGATCAGTATGAATGTTGCTGACGCCTGCAGCCACATTGCGGTGATGCCGATTGGTCACCAGCGAACTTGTGGGGACGAGCACGTGCTAGCCATCGAGGCGCAGTACGTCGTCGTGGACCATGGCCACCAGCATTCTGGAGGGCGTTCGGACGTATTCCCTGTGCTGCAGCTTCGACGTCCTGGGCCGCATGATGCTACTGATGTGTACGACAGCGGAGGGTTCGACAACGACGACGATGACGACACGAAGGACCCAGGAGATGATGCCTCTCATCGACGCGACCTTGGCGACCATGGTGGTGACCAGGGAGGGCCAGACGGTGGTCATGATGGATCTTGGGACGGTTCTGCATTTGCTCGCCAGGTGCGCCCACCTACTGGCGATGACCCCGTCCCCTAGCCACAAAAAGCCCCTCGCACGCGCATGCTGTTGCGTGCTCGACTGCCTGCTCTCCGACTGAAGTCTTCTAGTTCCTCTCCATGCGCTTCGGATTGAGTGGTCCCTACTGCGACGGAGTGGTTTGACATCTCCGATGGCCCCCAGTGCGTTGGCACGCACGCAAACGACAGATGTCATCGTGTCCGCTGCGAGGTCCGTGGTGCTATATAGCAGCGTGTGCGGTGTCGCGGGCGTGGGATTTCAGCGCGTTGCCGAAGATGTTGGTTCGCGTCTGGATGCGTTGGGCCGTGCCGTCGCTGAACTACCCGACTTTCCACCAGATCCGTTGTTTTCTATCGAGGGCGCGTTGCGTGCGGACACCTTCTCAGGTGACCTGCAGATGAGGGGCCCAACGAGGTACGTACATCGAGCAGCTGTTAGATGAGATGAAACGGGGCCCGTCAGGGTGATTCTCACTGAGTTGGAGGGGGTCGCTTGGATAGCCAGCGGATGCATCGAACCTATCCTACGTGGTCCCCGCGCTACGCTTCTTGATCGCATCATGGACTTTCAGTTATTTGAGGGCGTGCGAAGTGGTTCGGAGGCTCTCATTGGTGACCCAGTCGACGAAGATTTTCACTATCAGTAGTGGGCTCTCGCAGTGCAGTCGGTCTCCTATGAAGTATGGCATCTTCTCGGATTGATGGCACATTTTCTCTTGGGGCTTATGGCGCCGATTCCGTGTCAGCTCATTTTTTTGGGGAGGTAGTAGCGCAGTGTCTCTTGAGAGGTATGGCCTCTTCTTTGAGGTGGAGCGCAGTTTCTTTCGGGTGGTATGGCGTCTACACTGTTGGGGGGTGCAGTGTCTCTGGGGCGGTTGGGAGTCTACTCTGAGGTTGCGCGCAGTTTCTCTTGGGAGGTATGGCATCTACTCTGTGGTTGAGCGCAGTTTTCCTTGGGAGGTATCGCGTCTACCCTGTGGTGGAGCCCAGTGTCTGTTGGGATGTATGGCGTCTATTCTGAGGTGGAGCGCAGTGCCTCTTGAGAAGTGTTTCGTCTGCTCTCAGGTGGAGTGCAGGGTCTCTTGGGGAAGGGCGTCTACTCTGAGGTGGATCGCAGTGCTTCTTGGGAGGTGTGGCGACCAGTCCGAGGTGAGGCGCCGTTTCTCTTGGAAGGTATGGCGTCCTCTTCGAGTCTGGGCTCAGTTCTTGGGGGTGTTGGAGTCTGCCCACAGTGGTTTCTGTTCGTGCTGCGCGTCATGGGCGAGGGCTTCGTGAAGGCAGTCCTGAGGGGGCCGGCCTGCTCTTCTCTTGCCGTGTTGCCTCTTTTCGTCTTGGCTCGCTGTTCTGTCGCTTCCCCTCGCGTTTCCTGACCTCCCGCATTGTCGTTTCTGCGCGCTGGGGTCGTCGTCGCTTTCCCCTCGGCCTCGATTTCCTCGTCTCCCTCGTTCCCTCGGCGCCCTCTGCTCAGCTGGAACGAGACAAGCGGTCGCAGCGCTCCGTTGGAGGGGATGGTAAGAAAGAGTCATCATCATCACCGTCATCAGCATCACCAACATCATCACCACCATCTTCTTTCAGCACCAGCATCACCATGATCACCATCACCACCATCATCATCACCACCATGATCCCATCATCAGCATCATCATCATCGTCATCGTCATCCTCTCACTCCGTTACCATGTGGGCTAAAGCTGTAAGGACTGGGCGGCTCGCAGTCGCTTCACGCGCCCCCAGCAATCCCCCCCTGCCACGAGGAGGCGAGCAGCAATGCGGGCGCGGTGCAAGAGGCAAAATTTGGGTGCAGCCGCGCCGTTCCCGCTCGTCGCTGGCGTGGCGACGGCTCACGGCAGCGCCGCTCGACTCGGGCACGGTCAAGACGCTGAGACGGGGACCGCCCTGGCCTCTCGAGGGGCTCCTGTCTCCGGGCCCCTCCCTCCGACTGCGGCGCCGGGGGACCTGTCTGTGGCGGAGGTTCGCCGTGGCCGGGAGGGCCCCGTCGTCCCTCCGACGGCGCTCCCTGCGGGCAGCAGTGGGGCTGCACGGCTCGCCCTGCGGATGCGGGGCAATACATAGGACCCTTTTGGTAAAATTTAGGGACCTTTTTGATGATTTGGTGAGGTTTGAGGGCTCAAAATACAGCGAAATGCCATATAAAAATGTTAGAATTGTTTATAAGAAATCATTTTATCTGGGGATGGAGCTGTGAATCATCAATTTGGGGGACTCCACCCACCACCCGAGTGCTTGGAGCGACCAAGCTACGAGTCCGTCGGGAGGCAGCGCAGAGTCATCATCCGAGGCTTCGCCCGTCCGAAGGCGACCGGAATTAAAACTTGGTTGACGAGAGGCTTGCACGCGAAGGACATCGTCGTGGCCGCCCTCAAAGCTCACGATGCCCTTTCCGTTCGTTCCGAGTGCTCCTCGCAAGACCTCAACCCCAGCGCGTACGTCGCGTGTCGATCCCTTCTCATTTTTCCTACTCCTCCCTTCTCCTCCCTCCTCCCCCTCATCCTCATCAAGTCTGTCCTCCTACTCCTCCTCATCCTCCTCCTCCTAGACATCCTCCTCCTCCTCTTTCCTCCTCCTCCTCCTCCTCCTCCTCCTTTCTTTTCTGGCCCTTAATGGCATTGATGAGCATACTATTGTTTGGTGCAGTGGTCTCATTCCCAAGGGTTGGCTCCGTCTTCCCGGGGCTCCGGAGGATCGGGCGATGGAGTTGTTCCGATGCCATGATGGCCCTCTCCCTGGAGGAATTTACGGCGGCAATGGCGCCCGAGGGCCTTTTGCCACCGATCCCATTTTGCGTCGGGTAACCTTTGGCTTCGCGCGCCTGTGCTCCATTCCAGATCTTGATTGGGACTGCGGGGGACACGGAGTGCGCTGAGTTGGTTGCCATCGTGGAGGTGGTGCGTTGCGTGACACGTGATCAGTACGTGACGGTGATCACCGACCACATCAATCACCAGAGAGCTTTCCAGACAGGACGTCACCACACTCGTCGGTTGCAGAATGTTGACTTGTGGTGGGAGCTCTGGCAAATGCTAGGTTTGCGGTCTGGGTTGTTCGATTTAGTTTACACGCCTCGCCATTGTGCCGATGATGATGCTAAGTTTGCTCGTCTTGGGGCGTCTCTGAACCCTCACCATCTGCTCAGCAATGCACTTGCTGGTGCTCTGGCCACGGCGCGGTCGGCAAGCGCCCAGGTCCCGGCCGATGTGGTTCGTGAAGTCGTTGAATTTGTAAATTTGGTTTGCCGCAGTTTGTGGCGCTATGCTTCCATAATTTTGGAGCTTGCCAGGTTACCCAAGAATCAAGAACGCATCATGCTTCGCGTTCACATCCTGCGAGTGGTCCGCCAGCGCAAGGTTGTGATCGCAATTCTTGACGCTTCTGGCCACCATTTCGAGCCTGTAGCTAATGACATATGGAGGTGCAAAGCTTGCAACGAGCTGGTGCGACCCACAGCTCGCTTGTTTTTCCGCACGGTTCGTTCGCAGTGTGCGGCTCGCGCGCAATCTGCGCACGCCACGCCCGAGCGCCAAAGGTGGGCTCGAGGGCGACGAGTGGTGGGCTCGCAGGTCGGCAGAGCACCCATCGATGATGACCTTTGGTGCAGGCTTGAATTGACCTCGACGCTTGCTTCCTCCAGCTTTCCTCCACGGGCACATGGTGAATGACAGCCACGCCGCCTGGAGCAAAGGCCGCTTCACCTTCTGTGGGCTTTGCGGATGTTGGGCGAAATAAAAGCCTCGCGATTTGCGCATGAAGTGCCAAGTCGCTCTGTTTGGCCTGGCGGCCCTCACAGCGTATGACTGTGAAGCACTGGGGAGGTTGAGGCAAGGCAATCCCCCCAAGAAGAAGTACCTGGACTGGGGGCGCACAGTCGATATCTGCATCGTCCTATGATTTGTAGTTTTCCCACCTGCTCGGCAATTTCCTCGGAAGCTTGATTAAAAATGGCCCGCGGCAGAAAACAACTCCTTCTCCTCCTCCTCATCCTACAACTCCCTGTCCATAAAAATATGTGGGCCCTGGGAAGCCCCCATGGGATTGAGGAGGACCTCCAGGGATTTCGCCTCCTTCGACGCACCCTGAGGCTGAGACCCTGAAATTACCAAGACTCAGGACCCCGCTTGCGCGAGGGCCTGCCGAAGAGTGCTGCTCACGCGCGCGATGTGAGGCGTTCCAGAGGGGACCTCGCCGACGAGAAATCGAGAAGTTGCCAAAATT